GAGAAATCTTTTGAGGACTAGGGATAAAAGAGTTGCAATCTGAACAGGAAACCAATCCGTTTTTACTTGCTGTTTTATTTCGTTTTATTATGTTACCTACTGAAAACCCAAAAACAAACCCCCCCCACTGTGTTTTTAAGCCTTTAACAGTAAAAGAAGGTCCTTGGGAGACGACCTAGGAGTCACTTCCTAGTACTACATTTAATTGTATTTATTTGATTGGATACGGCTTCGATCAAATTTGGCGCCGTTGCCGGGGACCATCGGTTCCTGTTAAAGGGTGTGTGTTATTTGTTTTTGTTGTGTGTTTAGTGTTTTAGAGTTTCTGTTATGTTATGTCTGTTTTTGGTGTAGTGTTTTAGTGTATCAGTATATTAGTTTTAGTGCATCAATTTTTGCCTTAATTTTGTATGAATTTTGTGTATCAGTTTGGTGCTTGCGTTTTTGTGTCTCATTACATGTTATATTGTGTATTTGTGTTTGTCATTAGTCTCCCCAGGTGTAGCAAGTAAGCCAACTGAAGAATTCATGTTGTTAAGTCTGATGAACAGTAAACCAATGGAACAGTAACTCAAATTTGGTTTTTGATGCATTTGTTGTCATGTGTTTGTCATAGCTGATCTTTATTGCATTTGATAGGCCATTGTGACCAATTATATTGATTCCATTTGGTGTGCTAAATCATTGTTGTGTGTGTTGAGTTTCAATTCTGGTGCATTTCGTGGTGCATTGTGGTGCAAAATCTGGTGCATTTTGGTTAAAAATCTGGTGCGTTTTTCCCCTGTTTTGGTGCATTTTTTTGGTGCGTTTTGGTGCATGCTCTGTTCTGGAATAGGCATACTCTGTTTTCTCTCCCTACTACTCTGTTTGGGTTCTAAAATTGTGGGAAAAGGGTGTGAAAGTGTTGCAAAAAAATCTGGTGCAAAAATGTGGCGCATGAATAGTGCTGAATAGTAGCTGAATTTTCCAATTAATTGTGATTTTTGTTTTTGATAGCTAGACTTGTTATTTTTGTCTGATTTTTTTTGTGGTAACTTCTTTCAACCTATATTTTGTGTAAAAAATAGCTAGGGCACATAGTTTGGTCAAAATATGGAGATACAAAATTATTTAAAAAAAATTTCAGCAAAACTTCAAAGGGCCATAACTTTGGCTCTGATTATCGGAATTAGGCAAACTTTTTTTTTCATTTTGTGTGGCCCCAGCTAGATCTTCAAAAAAAGGTCGTTTACTATTTCTTTTTTATTTTTGAAGTTTTATTTCACTATTTTTCCAAACTTTTCTAATTTTTTTAAAATAGTTAGGTTTTGAATTTTGTTCTCAACTTTTTTGTGGTAGTGTCTTATGGTTTTAGGATGATGTTGGTGCATTAGTTTTGATATTTTATGAGTTTTCATGGAAATTCCCAGTTTACCCCTACTGTTCACGTGTCCTGATGCATGTGTTGCATGTAGTGCATGACTAGGAGCAACCCTGATTTTTTGCATCCATTTGATCCTGAGATTGATAGGACATTCCATAGATTAATTAGAGAGCATATCATTCCATCTTTAGATAGTGTTAGTCATAGCCATAGTGATAGTCTTAGTGATAATCTTAGTGTAAGTGTTACATCTGAACTTGATTCAAGTCAACTAGAAAACATGGGTGAACAACCTTATAATGGACCTCGTGAAAGGACTCTTAGGGAGATGGTTGCACCTGATTTCACTTATGAGAGTTTGTGCATTCAATATCCTGAAGAAGATGTTCCTTTTGTACTTAAAACTGGACTAATCCATTTTTTGCCCAAGTTTCATGGTCATGCAGGTGAGGATCCACACAAACATCTGAAGGAGTTCCATATTGTTTGTTCTACCATGAAGCCTCCTGATGTTCAAGAGGATCACATTTACCTGAAGGCATTTCCACATTCATTGGAGGGAGTTGCTAAAAACTGGCTGTATTATTTGGCTCCCAGGTCCATCACTAGCTGGGATGTTCTGAAAAGAATGTTTCTGGAGAAATTTTTCCCTGCCTCAAGGACCACTGCAATCAGAAAGGATATATCAGGGATTAGGCAACTTGGCGGAGAGAGCTTGTATGAATACTGGGAGAGATTTAAAAAATTATGTGCAAGCTGTCCCCACCACCAGATTTCTGAGCAGCTCCTATTGCAGTACTTTTATGAGGGCCTCAATAGCATGGAGAGGAGTATGATTGATGCTTCCAGTGGAGGAGCTCTTGGTGACATGACTCCGGCTGAGGCTAGACACTTAATTGAAAAAATGGCCTCCAATTCTCAACAGTTCAGCGCCGGGAATGATGCTATTGTGCTTAGGGGAATTAATGATGTAGCTGCTGACTCTTCTTCATCTGCAGATAGGAAGCTTGAAAGGAAGCTTGATACCTTGGTCAGTTTAGTCACTCAACTTGCCATGAACCAGAAATCTTCATTTTCATCTGTGGCAAGGGTTTGTGGCATTTGCACTTCAAATGACCATCATACAGATTCGTGTCCATCATTGCAACAGCCTTCTGATGTTCATGCTCCTCAAGCCTATGCTGCAAATATCTACAATAACAGACCAACGCAGCAACAACAACAACAAAATTATGATCTATCCTCCAATAGACACAATCCTGGTTGGAGAAATCATCCCAACTTGAGGTGGGGAAACTCTCAACAACAGCAGCAGCAAAATCCACCACCTTTCCAGAACCATCCCTCAAGTTCTTTATACTAGCCCCCTCAACAGAGACCTCCTCCTCTTGCACCTGTAGCTCAACCAGCTCAACCTTCTACTTCTGAGCCTTCATTGGAGGAGTTGGTTAGGCAGATGACCATTCAGAATATGCAATTTCAGCAAGAGACCAGAGCCTCCATTCAGAGCTTGACCAATCAGATGGGGCAGATGGCTACTCAACTCAATCAGGCACAGTCTCAAAATTTAGATAAGTTGCCTTCACAGACTGTGCAGAATCTGAAAAATGTGAGTGCCATCACATTGAGGTTAGGGAAACAGATTGACACACCCACTACAGTATCTCCACCTCCATCTGCACCTATGTTTGTGCCATTACCAGTTCCACCATCTGCACTTGAGCAAAATGATGAGCCAGTTGGTGCCCAAAATTTTCATGCAGGTGGACCTTCTTCCAGCACCAATTCTAATTTACAGTAGTCTCCTATCGCTCTTCCATTTCCTCCTAATTTAATTCCAAGCAAAAAGATGGAAGAGGTGGATAAGGAGATATTGGAGACCTTCAGGAAGGTGGAGGTGAACATACCTCTACTAGACGCCATCAAGCAAATTCCCAGATATGCAAAATTCTTGAAGGAGCTGTGCACTCATAAGAGGAAAATGAAGGGCAATGAGCGAATCAGCATGGGTAGAAATGTGTTTGCTTTGATAGGTAAATCTGTTCCTCACATTCCTGAAAAATGTAAGGAACCAGGTACTTTCTGCATACCTTGTATTATTGGGAATATCAAATTTGAAAATTCCATGCTTGATTTGGGTGCTTCTATAAATGTCATGACTCTGTCCATTTTTAAATCTCTGTCTCTAGGTCCTATACAGCCTACGGGTGTGGTGATACAGTTGGCAAATAGAAGTGTCGCCCACCCTACAGGTTTCATTGAGGATGTCTTAGTTCGGGTTGGTGAACTAATTTTTCCTGCCGATTTTTATGTGCTTGATATGGAGGACGGATTCTCCCATGGTTCTGTCCCAATCATTCTGGGCAGACCATTTTTAAAAACAGCCCGGACCAAGTGGTACATTGTCCATGGAGTTTGGTGATAGTGTTGTCCATTTTAATATTCTTGATGCCATGAAACATCCATCTGAGGACCATTCTATTTTTCGTGCTGAGATACTTGATGATGTTGTTGATCAGTATGCTTCTGATTTTTATTCTTTGCATGACAAGAAACATTATTTTCTATCTGATCTATATACTTATCTTGCATGCACTGAATCTAAATCTGATTTTGTATCTGATGTTTTGGGTGTTGTACCTCTGGATATTATTTCTTTAGAGTCAGAATGCACTAACCATGTTTCAGGAAGTACACATGAGTCTGACTTGCAGGTTGAGGTACATTATGTGGAACCCTTAGTTTTAGTTCCTTCTGATGTTCAGCCACCACCCACACCAGAATTGAAGCCTCTTCCAGAGAACCTCAATTACGCTTACTTGGAGGATAATGAGAAGTTGCCAGTGATCATT